AGCATAAACTCTCCTCCTGGTTTCTGGTTAGTCAAGGAACTCTGTCAGTTCCTCGCTTATTTGCATGACCAGAACGGCTGGGGTTCGGGACCCAGTGTATGACCTGCTCTTCCTGACCAATGTGACCTCAGCCTCTCTCTTCCCCAAAGAGCCCATATTCCCAGGGACTCAATTTTTCCTCATGGAGTACTACAACTCCGGCATTCATAAAACAAAAAAATGAGAAGACACAGGCATAAATCCCTTTGAGGGAAACGAAAGGGATACTGACTCTGGTCAGATTCCTTGAGTGGGCACGACTTCTAGGAGGAGAAGTATGAGGACTCTTAGGATGGCTCTGGTTTATTAGAATGAGTCTTTATTTAGTCTCTCGTGGACAGAAAGGTGGCGCTCTAAGAAGAGCCAGCGTTTGTGCTCCCTGGAGTTCACTGTCAACCGCATTGCCGGACAGGAGTCTGAACTCCACCGTGAGTCTCAAGGTAGAGCTCTGCTGGGGTCTGGGTTGGGGTGGGGTGCTGTCGGGCTCCTACCACAGGGTGAGACTGGAAATGCATCTCTGACTCACTAAGGGTCTTTACTCTCCCCATGTATTCCACCACTGGGGACTTGAGCGTAGATCATCACCCAAACCCTACAACCGTTCCTCATGTGATCCCAGGCAGATCACCTTGCCAGATGAGCTAATCAGTCCACCGGGCAGGGCAGGGCAGTTGTGTGGGAACACTGAGGGAGTAGGAGGCTGCTTGGGGGGATGTGTGGGATGGTGTTGACTAGATGCGGCTGGTTCATCTGGGAAAGCGGGTCTGTGTGGGGGACACCTTTTCTGAGCTCTGCCTTGGCCTCCGACCTGCGTCAGTCTTCACAGGAAAGCCATCCTGAACTTTCTCTGCCTGCCCAGATGCAGCTCTCGGGAGAGAAACCCCACGTGTGTCCCATAAGCCCAGGCCCCCGAGTCCTGCGTCCTTGGGGCTGACGCCCCCGTTAGTGGTATCAGAGTTAGGGGCCTCCACACGGACTGATCCGGAGGCTGGGGCAGTGCGAGCCTCGCCCCCCACCCCCCGCAGCAGGCAGCAGGCCTCACCCGGAACTGCCCCCCGTCGCCGTCGTCCAGCTCCAGGATGTAGCCGTCCACGGGGCTGTGGGTGAAGGGCGGCGTCCTCCAGGCCAGCGTGACGCTGTTGTTCCGGGTGCAGCACTTCTCCAGCTGCAACAGCGGCACGGGCGGCACTGTGAGGGGAAGGGCGGGCTTCAGTGCGCAGACCCCGCAGGGCGCGGGGACGGCTGCCGGCCCGCCCCACCCCAGAGGAGAGGCCACCGCCGCGGGGACGGCTGCCGGCCCGCCCCACCCCAGATCTGGAGCCCTGAGGACAAGGTGTCCGCTCCCCACCGGCCCACTGAGCATCACTGGTTTTGACTCTGGCCCAGGAGCGGCTCCCTAGGACTTGCAGCAGAGCCTCCCAGCACAGCAAGGCCTCCCCAGACCCTCTGCATGGAGTCACGTGCAGCTCACATCTGAGACCCGTCAAGTTGTGGTTGGGGGCGGGGGACAGGCAAAAGGCAAAGAGACATTGAAACCTTTGTCTGGGAGCATTTTAAAGGCCTAGGGAATTAGATCCTGGAAGGTGAGGCAGTCTTAGAGTATGGGACAGTCTACCCATGGAATTAGGGATTCAAGTCAAGTGAATCATCAGTTCTATCAAGGTGAGCTTGGGAGTATCTTTTTATTCTCTAGTTGTGTTCAGGCTCGAGAGATTTCGGAAATAAATATAGTCCGTGCTGGGGCTTCCCAGGTGACGTTAGTGATAAGAAGTTGCCTGCCAATGCAGGAGACATAAGAGACTTGGGTTAGATCCCTGTGTTGGGAAGTTCCCCTGGAGGAGGACACGGCAACCCACTTCAGTATTCTTGCCTGGAGAATCCCATGGACAGAGGAGCCTGGTGGGCTACGGTCCATAGGGTTGCAAAGAGGTGGACACAAGTGAAGCAATTTAGCATGCACGCATGCATAATCCATGCTGACATTTTTCCAAGGGAACACTGCAACATGAGTTTTTGTAAAAACTACAGATTTCCATTTGGCTTCAGATGTTAGGGCACCATCTTCCACATTTTGGTGGACAGTTTAGTGGGATGTGAGCACTGTTATGGATGTGGTCTCAGGGCTGCTCCATGCAGACTGGCCCCAGGACCCTGGGTTATCAGTGTGGAGGAGTCCTCTCTCCATCCCTGGGTATTGCTTTTCTCTTTCCCACTTCTTCTATGAATCCCACCACCCCAACCTGTCAGGAGCAGCTCCAAGCAGCCTCTTTCAGCACCCTCACTTTCCAGACCAGGGTTATTCTGCTCCCAGAAACACACCTCATTCATACCTGGGGCAGATAGCATTTCCAAACCTCACCTCAGGAGCAAACTGAGTGTGGGAGTGAGCACAGAGACTGGATATCTTCGGTTTAAAAATGGCCACATACTTTGCAAGTGAGCATTTTCCTGAGTTCACAGCTTCTGTAGGTGTGGTGCTCTGCTCTTTGATATATTGGTTAAAAAAAAAAAACCCAAAGAGTTTTATTCCCTCCCCTGAATGTACCCTTAATGTCTCTGCAGGCCTCACATGCTAATTTTGTAACCTGGGGAAAGTTATGCAACCTTTTCTTAACCCATAGCTTGTGTCCCCCTGGCTCTCTGAACTCATCTCTGCCACCCACCACCTTCTCCACTCAGCTGTCACCTCTGCTCTCACTCTTCTTGGAACACAGCAAACTTATACCTGCCCTCTGGCTCCTGGAAACTTCATCCTTTATATTGCATCTCTTTCCTTCTCACCTCAAAATACAACCTCCATACTAATGCCTTCTTCTCAAAAGTGGCTTTCCTGGTGGCTCAGATGGTAAAGAATCAGCTTGTAATGCAGGAGACTCAGGTTTGATCCCTGATCGGGAAGATCCCCTGGAGAAGGGAGTGGTTACCTACTCCAGTATTCTTGCCTGGAGAATTTCATGGACAGAGGAGCCTGGCAGGCTACAGTGCATGGGGTCACAAAGCGTCAGACATGACTGAGTGACTAACACTGTCCTTCTCAAAAAGCACCTTGTTGGTCACACCTGCCACCATCAGGTTATATCACACTCCCTGTTGTATCATTGCCTATCTCCTTCTCTAGAATGCCAGCTCAGCCTTGTGAGGGAGTCTGCGGACTTGTTCACGGCTGTGTTCTGAACAGCTAGGATGGTGCCTGGCAGGTGACAAACACTCGATATGTGTCTCTGAATGAACAGACGATCCTCTTTCATACGTGGGAAAACTGTGGCTCACACTGGGGGCTACCCACAGGGGTCACCCAGCTCGGGGGCACTGAACTGGGACCTGAACCAAGGCCTGTGCCGCAGAAGGCCCTCCCTCCCGATCTGTGTCCCACCAGGGTCACACGTCTTCCGATGCATGAGCTGCCCTGCAGAGTGGATGCCTCTTCCAGAAGAAGCACCCACTGAACTGGGCCAACCACGGCTCACCCCTACATTTCATCTGAATGAAGTCCAGCTGGTGGATGGCCTGCAGCAGCGGCTCGCTGTCCAAGGTCAGCTCAAACTCCGCGGACACTTTGGGCTCCAGGGCGCCTTTGACCCACTGCTCTTGAGACACCTGGACACGCTTGATCAGGGCGTCCGAGATCTTAAAGGAAGCACAGAGTTTAGGGTTTCCACATGCAAAGGAAAAATAGCACAGCAGGTGGTGAGGAAAGGGTAGGGGCTTCATCTGCATAGGCTCAGGGTGCTGGGGTGGCTGTGTTAAGCATGCCCTCTCAAGCCCTGGCAGAGATGACAGGACCCATGCCGGTATGACTTGGGGGTAAATAAAAATGCATTATATTGTTTAAATCATCTTCACAGGTCGGTCATGTTCCCTGTAAAGAAGCCCTTGCTGTTTTAGGCTAAACACTTTTGTAAAGCAAATGATACTTTTTATTTTTTTTTTAACTTCTTATTTTGTATTGGGGTATAGCCTATTAACAACGTTGTGATAGTTTCAAGTGAACAGCCAAGGGACTCAGCCATACATACACATGTATCCATTCTCCTACAATCCCCCCCCCTCCCATCCAGGCTGCCACGTAATACTGAGAAGCGTTCCCTGTGCTGACAGTAGGTCCTTGGTGGTTATCCATTTTGTATATAGCAGTGTGTCCATGAACCTGCCAAATTCCCTAGCTATCCATTCCCCCCAGCGACCACTGGTTCACTTTCTAAGTCTGTGAGTCGCTTTCTGTTAAGTAACTAAGTTCGTTTGGAAGCAAATGATACTTTGAAAATATACAGAAACACTCTACATATTCAACTTCTGCTAGATCCCACACTTTGCAAAGCGAAACTCACTAATGGTTTGTCCTAGCATTTAAAAGCATCTCCTTCGCCCCGGTCCTGGGCCGCCCCCTCCCTCCCACTGTCTTTCTTCCATGCTGTGCTGCAGCTTCTGCTCCAGACTTTCACTGTATCAAACCCACAGCTCTGTTCTCTGGTGGAGAAAGTCTTGCTCATTCAGAACATTTGCACGTGTCCCTGTAGAGCTATGATGCCTGTGCACCCTTCCTGGGGACCAATCAAGGAGGTTCATCATTTTCCCCACAGACAGAGGACTGAGATTTTGTTTGAGTCACAGAAGTATTTCCAAGAGTTGCTCGTGACCCGGATTAGCCTGGCTGCTAGGGGTTGCCCAGCAAGGCATCCCGGGCTTTCTGGGCTATGGTATTCTGTCCAGACCTGCGGGACTCTGTCCACTGGGGACCATGTGGATTCTGCCAACTCACTTCTTCCAGTGCAGTCTTTCCAGCTTGACTGGCAAAGACTGTTTTCTTTCATCTGTGGGGAAAATGTTGCACTGGTGTTCCAGGAAGTCGAGCCATGAGAGCGTGGCATTGCAGGCCTAGGGACTGTGATGTTTGACCTCCTCATTTAATGATGACCCAGAGCCAGGTCAGAGCTTGTGAGAACAGCCAAAATGAGATTTCAGGTATTCTGGAATCACTGAGCACAGGAGAGTCTGCTCAACTGCAAGCCACGGGGAGGGACTTTCCTAGAACCTTGGCTAGTTTGGGACGTGGCCATGGAGCTAGAGGAAGGACCGCCAGCCCGCTCACCTGCAGGAACCCGGCAGGGTCGTTCTCCTTGATCACCTCCAGGCAGTACTCCATCAGCCCAGTGGACTGGCGCAGCTTCAGCGTGCAGTGATTGATCTGGTCCCAAACCATCTGCCATGAGAAGGACCCCTGGTAACCACCCGGCTGCAGTGGGAGGCAGCACTGTTCTGGACTCCCTCGTACCCTCTCCTGCGGCTGCTCTGTTCCTGAGCTCCACGTGCCCTCGTTACAGGGGCGTAATTGGACACACTCCCCCATAAGCAGGGCTGCCACACCCAACAGAGCAAACTTCCTGAACTCTGGATAAAAAGCAGAGAACGCACACATTCTGAACTCTTCCAAGTGACCGGTTCATGCCCCCCACTCTCGCTTGCTGGGTGGTCACTTGAGGGGCTCAGCTGCTTTGCAGGTAAACCATGGACCATCCCCAACACATGTTCCTTCTCGCCCTTCAGTAATATTTCTGGTTCAGTTGGGAAATTTCTATGAAACAGATCGAGGCTAGACCATGAAGTGAGTAGTTTTCGTCAANACCATCCCCAACACATGTTCCTTCTCGCCCTTCAGTAATATTTCTGGTTCAGTTGGGAAATTTCTATGAAACAGATCGAGGCTAGACCATGAAGTGAGTAGTTTTCGTCAAGGCAGGGTGTTCGCGGGGCAGCTGCCTGGACCGGGGACCTGGTCCCGAATGAGGGGAAGTCTTGCCTTTCCACGGTGGTCGCTGGCCACCGTGCTGACCTCGCGAGCACCAGACGCCAGAGAACCTGACGGAGGGGCCAAGCCAGGGCCCTGAGCACAGCCCTCGTCATCCAACGAGGCCATCTCCGCTCTGCAAGATGAGAGCAGGGTGTGTGTCTTCCACCGAAAGCAGGGGCCCAGCAGATGGGAGAGGGGGGACTTCTGACTGAAAGCAGCAGGATTCAGGTGTCTGGTCCCCGCTTTGGAGGGAGAGTAGGCATGGCGATTATTGCAGGCAAAGTGACACGAGGGTGCGTAGGTCCCAGGGAACCTGCTCAGCGCTTCCTTCCTTCACTCGTTCATTCATTCATACCCTCAACTAACACTGACCCCGTGTCTACACCACGTGGTCCCCCACCCTGGGCAGGGAGGCTGTGAGGGGACCCACCTTCAGCTTGTGCTCCCTCTCTTTGGTGACCTTGGTGAGCAGCTTGGCTTTCTGCCGGGTCAGAGCATCGACCAGCGCATCGCACTGAGCCACCAGGCAGGCCTCGTAGTCCAGGCCATTCTCCTGTGGGACACAGAGGGCTTTAGGGAGCAGGTACGCAGAGACGTGGCCGGTGCTAGAGACACAGCCGCGTCAGCAAGCGGGTCCTGCTCCTAGACTGGAGACCGTGCGTGTGAGTCTCAGCACATCAGAGGATGGAACGAATATTCAACGTCACCTGAGGCATGCAGGTTTGTGAGGGTTTTCAGTGTCGTGGGAAACACTCATAAGAGACTTAACAAGAGAAAAAGTAGCAAGTGTGTACAGCATAATTGCATACAGTGTGTGTGTGTGTAAACTAGTGGAATAGCATGTCAAAATAGTGGGGTGGCCACTTAAAGGGGTGAGATATTCAAACTTCTGTTACTTTTGTCTGCTATTTTCTACTTTTCGAAATTTCTAGAACATATTTTTAGTTTTCATAATCGGGAAACAGTAAAACAAACAAAACCAGTGGTCTGGCTGTAGGATCTGGCTCTCTCAGTTGTGAAAAAGAATCCTTCAACACCTCTCAGAGCAGCCTGGATTCAGACCTCGCGTCATGGGCTAATGTGTTTTCTCCCACCCCTGCCCCAAGTTCCTACAAGGAAGTCCAAACCCCCATGACCTCAGAACAAGACTGTGTGGAGAAACGGCCTTGAAAGAAGTAACTTAAATGAGGTCCTTAGGCTGGGCTCTGATCCAACATGACTGTGTCCTTAGAAGAGGAGGTGAGGACACAGGCAGGCACAGAGGGAGGGCCGCCTGAGGACGCAGGGAGGCGGTGGCTGTCTGCCAGCCCGGGAGAGAGCGCTCAGGAGGAGCCACCCCTGCCCACGCCTCCATCTTGAACTTCTAGCCTCCATAACTGTGAGGAAATACGTTACTGGGGCTGAAGCCACTCAGTCTATGATGCTCTTTTATAGCAACCCTACCAAATGGATACAGCTGGTGTCCTGAAACATCAGAAACAGGAAAGGAAATGCCTGGTGGCTGAATTCTGTGCTTTGCCTTATTAGGAAGGACGGCTTCTATCGGCTGGTTTAGAATTCAGTGCCCTCAGTCCCCCTTTTCCACCCAGACACCGGGAAGTTCATGATCTGTGTGAAAGTTCCTCCCTGCGTGCATTTACACACTCTCTCCCTGACAGACAGAGCTCCCGGGGCCACAGACTGCAGCTTATTGATCTGTGTCGGGCTTATACGTGACACAGCATGGGTGCTCAGTAAACACATTTATTTAGTAACTGATGCTTTTATATTATGATGCATTTGGTATGTCAGCACTGTTTATGGACTCTGGTAGCACTGTATGGCCATGTATTATTTCTGCCTGGTTCCCTTTCTATGATTCTTTCTGAGTTCAAGCAAGATCCCTTTCCTATCGGATGGCTCATGGGTGCCGGTGGACTGGGTGTGTAGTGTCTGTGACATCTGAGGCTGTGCAGGGAGCAGTTGGGCCTCCCCATCTTCAACACTGAGAAGGGCTGCCAGGGGTCTTCCCTTTCGTCATCTGTGTCTCACATCCCTTCTGCGGAGAGGTGGGGTCTCGGCTCACCTGGATCTGCTGCAGAATGTTCTTCAGCTGAACCAGAAACTCCTTTGCTTCTTTTGCCTTATCGGAAACTCCATTTAAGGCCTGAGACAGCTGGGCCTAAAAGATATTACAGGTTGAAAAGGAAAATTAGGTGTTAAAGGCATTTGGTCTGCCCTTCACCCTGAAAGCTGCGTTTATAACAGGGTATAACCAGGAGCGGTCCTCTGTGGGGGGAATCCCTATCAACGTGCAGTCTCTGTAGCATGGGCTTGTTTTTCTAGCAATGGCTGATGAAGTGTTGGTTGACCGCACTCGTCTGTCTGCACCCCAAAGCAGGATAGAAGTAAGCAGCATTCAGCTAATTGGTTGGGGCTGACAGGACCCAGGACAAGAAGCAAGTAGGTCTGGCCCCCACTCTTCCCACAGCAGCTCTACCCCCATCAGTAGGACACTCAGACGCCAATGTGTGGGCACCCCAGGTGCCAGGCCACACTCTGCCCACCTCATGTGTACACAGTTGCCTTTTGGCCCAAGAGGGATGGGTAGGAAAGAGACCTGGAAATGAGCTTGAGCCATGTGGATGGAGGGTCCCCAGTCATCATGTAGAAGGGATGGTGGTGGCCTCCTTAGCAATTGAGACCCCTCACTCTGCTGTCACTGGGACCCAAAGGCAGAGCTGCAGGCTGGTGTCACATCTATGGCCTTTAGCCTCAGGCTTCTTTTCAATGAAACATATGCCCACACAATCGAATTTGTCTTCAAAACTTCACTATTGATTAGACTGATGCCCTTTGCTTTTCAATTTTATTTATCTATATTTTGATCATGCCCTGCAGCCTGTGGGATCTTAGTTCCCCAAGCAAGGATTGAACCCATATCCCCGCCAGGGAAATCTCCTGATGCCCTTGATTTTTAACGGTGCTCTCATGTTTCAAATTAAAAATTTGAATTAAAAATTTTAATTCAAATTAAAAAGCTGAGGGCAGAGAGAAAAATGGGGCCAGAAAAGTTGGGTCATACCCACTCTCCACTGTCTTTAGGTCTCTGCTCAGATATGATCTGTCTGAGAGGCCTCTCCACTTACCTTGCTTTATTCTTCTTCATAATGTTCATTACTGCCCAACACAGGTTTGTTTTCTGTGTGCCTCTCCTCAGAATTGCAATTCTGGTGCAATTATCTATGCAGGAAGCTATCCAATAGAAATCACAAGAATAGCAGAGTGTCCTGCATCTGCTCTGAGCCCTTGAAATTTTACTTAAAGTTTTCAGCCACCATGTGTGGCCAGTGGCTGCTGTCCTAGGCAGCACAGATCTTTGCACTCATCCTTAGCAGCTCAGCCTGTTTCTGATAACTTCACTCAGAAGGAGCTGGAGAGGTCAGCGTCACTGAGACTCATCATCTGTGTCCAGAAAAGGGATGCCTCCCTCCCTACCCCACTCACTGCAAGAAGAGGGCCCTTGGAGGCTGCACCCCTTTTCTCCTCAAGGAGAGGCCCATTCCTGGGAACCTATGCACTCCTTCACGGTGGGGACATTGTCTTTGTCCTTCTAGCCAGGCACAAAATAGGGGCTCAAAAACTGCTCACTGGCTGAATAGAAAGCAAAGCAATTGCTCCTCTAGAAGGAGATGCTAACCAAAACAGGTTCCTGTAGATCCACAGGCAACACATTTGTCCACAAGAAGCCGCATTAGTGAGTGTCCCCCTCCTTCCACCCAGGAAACTGGGGCCAGCATGGCTCTGCCCCCACTAGCCCCGGTCTCCCCGCAGCCCAGCCCTGCTCTCGACCTGCTTCCTACTTGGCAAATAGATCCTGGAGCTTGGCAAGGAGCCCAGAACAAGTGATTTTTGAAAGGTTCCAGTGGCCTTAGGCAGACACCCAGCTGAAAGAGGAATGAACTCACAGCTCACTGGACACTGCTCCAGGCTCATCAGACTTGCCTCTGACCCCAGCCCAGCAGGGTGCAGCAAAGGCCTGAAGGAAGAGCCCGGACTCCCATGTGAGAGCTGGTTCCCCTTGAAGGACGTCCTGACCCAACAAGCACACACTTGTATTAACACCTTTCTTGACCCCAGTTCCTTCCCATGTGGTGGGACCACAAGTCAGCTCTCCTTGCCCAGGTGACAGGGCTGTGGAAACTGGCCCTGGCTGTTCTACTGGCAAAGGAGCCAGGGATTGGATGGCAAAAGTGGAAACCATTTCTCAAGGGACACATCACTTATTGGCAACGTGTTACAGGTTCACAGCGTATTGTATTTGGCTGCAGGTTTTTGAGACACACTCTTCTTTTCCACAAGGACTGTCTAGTGGGCCAGCAGGGGACACGGAAAACTGTGTTCTTCTGGTCCTAGAGAAGGGCTTCCCTGGTGGCTCAGATGGTGAAGAATCTGTCTGCAATGCAGGAGACCCAGATTTGATCCCTGAGTCGGGAAGTTTCCCTGGAGAACGGAAGGGCAATCTACTCCAGTATCCTGGAGAACTCCATGGTCAGAGGAAGACCCTGCCATCTGCGAAATGAGAATGGGTGTTCAGTCTCTGTGGCCATACTATACTCTTGGAAAGAAAGGAAATATCCAGACAGAAGATAAATAATAAATATTTTAAAAGGACTGAATAGACTTTTAACTTGAATCAAACATTGTATTTTATGCCTTCCTATTTCTTAAAGGTTAGAATTACTTTGCTGTAGAGTCTCTGAGTTTAGACAGACAGCTTAAAAATGTCAGTATTTCCAACAGGGCCAAACCACCTGCTTCCTGGCTTAGCATCACGTCTTTGCCTGCAGCCTGAAGGAGTAGCTTCTAGATACACGGGGTAGTGTATCTCACCTCCATCTAGATGGTGTTATAGGGCCTCATAATGCATTAAGCTGGTTTCCCTGGTGGTTAAGATGGTAAAGAATCTGCCTGCAATGCAGGAGACCTAGGTTTGATCCCTGGGTTGGAAAGATCCCCTGGAGAAGGAAATGTCTACCCACTCTAGGATTCTTGCCTGGAGAATTCCAGGGTCAGAAAAGCCTGGTGGGCTACAGTCCATGGGGTCACAAAGAGTCAGACTACCGCAATGCATTAAGCAAGAGGACTCTGGGGCATATAGCCAAATCTTGGCTCTTTTGTTTGTTAGCTGTGTGTCTCAGAAAGATTCTTCATCTCTTTGTTATAGCGGGTCCTCTCCTCATATGAGTTTGCACTATTATACTTAGAAATATAGCTCGAGCTTTCCCCAAATCCTCTTTTGCTACTTTTTAAACCTGATCACACCAAAACGGGACATTTTAAATGTTCTTCTTTAGTGAATGTTTGGGAGATAATAATGCAATGATACTTATCTAACAGGATGCTTTCAGTTTGATTTNTAATTTGTTCAACTTGCATCAGTTGTTTAAAAAAAATAATGACAACTGCTTGTATTCCTTTGAAATCATAAACTGTAAGTAATTTAATTATTATTTTCAAGGTAGCTTTATTAATTATATCACTTTGTTTAAAATATTTATTCATCCTAATCTAATAGCAATACAATGTTATACTATCCTTTTAGATTACTCATGCTATTACTTTATTTAATGCAAGAAACCTGTAAATGTATGGGGCTTCATTCTCGTATTAACTACTATTTTGTCACTGTTTTGGTATTTTTTTGTATATTGATTAACTTGTAAATATACTCTCTTTGCCTGACTAGTGAATTTCTCCAAGTTTGGACTTGCTTTTCTAAAAGTTATATCAATACATAAAGTCTTCATTAATTTTTCAGATTTAAAGGTTTGTGTTTTTTCATCTGTAAAAAACATAGTGTTCATAGTATTCTGGTAGATGTGGAAGTGGAAATTATGCAAAGCCTTTGGTCAGACAGGTTAACTTATTGTTTAATGGTATAACATTTATATGATGGATTTGAGAGAAATGGAACAGCTAATCCAAAACTTGCTTCAAATGCAGCAGCCTGAGACATTCCCTGCTTCTGTGCATTTGTAAACTAGCAAAAGGGTTCTGAAAGGCATTTCAACTAGTTAAACTGATTGATATGCATTTATTCAAACTCCATTCAATGATTATTTACTGAGCACCTGCTCGATACCAGACGGAACTCTAGGCAATGGATAAAGAGTGGTAAGCAAAAAGGAGTGGCCTCTTCTACTATGGAGGGTATCATCCAATGGGAAATCGTCACAGCACACAAAGAAACCAATAGCTATATAATTAGAAACTGCAATAGATGAGAAAAAGAGTGAAAAATGGTTGCGAAGGTGAGGGTGGTGAGCACTTCAGATTGGAAAGTCAGAGGAGACCACTTTGAAAAATTATATTTAAGGTGAGAACTAAAGGAAGCAAATGATATTTCTTTTTTTTTTAATTAGTTTATTTATTTTAATTGGAGGCTAATTACTTCACATTACTGTAGTGGTTTTTGCCATAGATTGACATGAATCAGCCATGGGGGTACATGTGTTCCCCATCCTGAACCCCCCTCCCACCTCCCTCCCCATCCCATCCGTCAGGTCATCCCAGTGCACCCGCCCTGAGCACCCTGTCTCATGCATCGAACCTGGGCTGGCGATCAGTTTCACATATGATAATACACATGTTTCAATGCTATTCCTTCAAATCATCGCACCCTTGCCTTCTCCCACAGGGTCCAACAGTCTGTTCTTTGCATCTGTGTCTCTTTCGCTGTCTCGCACAAATGATATTTCTTTCACATACTTTTTGTGTGTGAAACTGAGGAAAAGCTGTACAGGGAAAAACAAAACAGAAGCAGTGTGTGTGTGTAAAGGCAGAAAGGAAAGAGCATGGCCCGCCAGAGAGAGGAGAGGAGGACAGCTGCGCTAGAAGGTGGGAGAGGAGGAGGGCGTGAGGTGAGCTGGCGGCAGAAAGGCGGGAGCGCAGACAGCGCGGAAGCCTACAGGAGCGCAGGTTTCTCCAAAGTGAAGGGAGAGTCCACCAAAGGGCTTAAACCAGTAGAATAGCATGATGTCAAGTATCACTTTGGCAATTTGCTGATAATGAATTCAAGCAAGGCAAGAATGGAGAAGGGGACAGGAATAAGGAAACCAGTCCAGGGAAAAGGTGATGGTGGCTCAAGCTAGGGTGGTAGAGACACAGCAAAGTGGACAGATTTGAGGCAA